CACCGCCCGGGGAGGGTGGGGTGCTGTGGTCACACGGGGTCCCTCCACGTGTGTAGGAACCCTGCAGAGCATTCCGCCAACTGTCTCTTGATGAGATTAAAGTAGGATGAGCCGTGAAGCTGTAGCTACTTTATCGTATGGCAGACGGAAGAAGGTAGTCCCAAAATGATGGACTATTTTTAATATTTAAATAAGCTCAACAAGTGAAACAACAAGGCCCACCGTACAGCCCAGGGAACTACAGTCAATCCCTTTCTGTTGCTGGGGAAGGAGGGGCGGTAATTAGGTTAGTTAGTTAGTTATTTAATGGAGGTGCTGGGGACTGAACCCAGGACCTTGTGCGTGCTGGGCACTCCCTCTGCCACTGAGCTCCACCCTCCCCACCCCCATAGTCAATGCCTTTTGATGGTCTATAGTGAAAAAGAACATGACAAGGAATATACACATGCGTGAGTGAATCACTACGCTGTACACCAGAAATTAACAGCATTGTAAACCGACTCTGCCTCAGTTTTAATAAAAGCACAATGTCACGTCCTTGGGGAGGTGCTACAGGAAAGGGCCCCCCTTAGTCTTCTTCTGATTTTTCCTGATACACTAATGAGACAGATATAAAGTGTTATAGTAAGCGCTGTACCCGTTATTCAGGAAAGAGGAATTGCTTCCATCTGCTGTTCTATTGTTCATTTTGAACCTTAAGTGCAAAGTAAAGGTGCACAGGCTGCTCTTAATTAAAGATAACAGCGTCGTGTCCTGGGCATAACTTTGTGACCGCTTTCATCTTACTGTTTTCTGTTTGTTTGTTTGTTTTCCTATAGAACCAATGAATACCTTGGGTACAGTGAAAAATCAGCAGAAGAATTCAACAAAGTAATGTAGCTGCCACCAAAACCTGCAGTGCGGAGGCAGGTGGAGCCACAGACGTTGTGCAGAGTGGGAGGGGCCGGACACTCGGAGCTCACGCCGTGGCTTCCGTTCTCAGAAAGTTCAAGGACAGGCAACACCCCTGACAGTGGAGGTGGTGACGGGAAGGGGTGTGAGCGGGCATCTGGGGCAGGCCTGATGACCTGGGCGCTGGGCATCAACATGAGTTAAAAACCCACCAAGCTGCTCCCGTTTCAGATTTGTGCAGGTGCCTGACGCTCTGGGAAAAGAAAACACTGTGTTCACAGGTGGTTCTGTGTGTGGGTGATGGGCACACGGATGGACAGATGGTTGGATGGACAGATCTGTTCAGAGTGCTTGTGTGATGTTGTGTGATCCTCCGGGTCCGTCCAGGTCCAGGGCCTGCCTCACTTGGTGAGGATGTCAGAATCCCCACAGGAGGCGCTGGCCGCCGGCCAGGCCCAGGCTGCCGGGCCCTGTGAGAGGCCGGCTCACTGTCCACCGCGGACTCTGAGCCATCCTGGCACGTGGTCTGCCCACTGCAGCCTCCGTTACAACTGTCGCTGAGCTCTGGGCTGATTATCTCATTCATTTATCCACTCAGGAGCCAGACCTCCTGGCCCCAGGGGTAAAGCAGGACGCTCGGGCTGGTTAATTGCTTCCCCATCAGGAAGGCTGCGCTGGTAGCTAGGGCTGAGTGCATCACCCTGGGGACGGGCGTGGAGGCGCAGAGCCTGCCACAGCCACAGGGTGGGGATGAATGAAACATCATGTGTGGCCAGGACGCTGCTCTCCCCACACAAGCAGCCCCAGACCCACTCTTCCTCGGGGTGTGGCAGGCCATCCCCGTGTGTACCAGCCGCCCTGCTCTCCCACCTGGCCCTCCATGGTGTCCAGCTGGACAGAACTCCAGCCCAGACAGAAGCTGCCGGCACTGCCAACTGCAGCCAGCTTGTGGGCGGGGGTGGGAGCTGCCCCAAGAGAGGGGACCCAGGGCACCTGACAGCCCGCTCGCTGCCCAGGAACCACAAAGGCAGGACCGGGCACCCCGAGCTCGCCAAAGAGCCTCGCTGGATGGATTGACTTTGGCAGTATGGGCCAGGCTGAACCTCCCCAACGCTGCCTGCATCCCTGGGTCTCCTGGAATTCCCAGACCTCTCATCTGATCTTGAAAAGCCAGACTGGAAAACCAGGAAGAACCCCTGGTGCTGGTTCCCTTCGCAGGCTCCCTGGGTGCAGGGCCTGAGCAGCTGGAGGGGGGGGGGCCGTGCCCAGCCCCTGCATCCTTCCCGAGACCCCCAGAACCGAACCGCCTGGTGCTTCCGGCTGCAGGATCTGCTGCAGGAGCGAAGGGCCCGTCCATTCCCCAGGGGAGCAGAGGCTGCCTTCGACTTTCCAGTAGCTGTCCTGGGATTTCCAGGTCAGCCTCCCCTGTGTACCCCGTCCCCAGCACACACACCTCCGCCCAGAACTCTCACTCTTCCTCCTGTCCTAGTTTTGTGGATTTTTCTGCTTTTTTTCAAGAAGCGAGTTCAGAATCTGTTCACCATGCCAATTCTTAAATTTTTCCTCTTTCGTTAAGCTCTGACCTCATCCCTGCCTGAGACCCCAGGTTGATGCTGCAGCTAATTTTTGAGCTTCTTCAATCATAATCTCAGTGAATTTACTTCCATGCTTTCAATTTTCAAACATGTGCATTGAAGGTTGTAACTGTGCCTCCAGTGTCTTTCCAGCCAGGCCTGCCAGGCTGTGACCTGGGCTCCTGTCACTGTCTTGTTCCAGCTTGCTCCCCTGGAAGGCGCACGTCGCCAGGGGAGTTGGAGGGCATGGAGGTGCCTGCTGGCTCCCTCGGTTTTCCCTAGACGGCGCCCAGCCCGCAGGCCTCGCCCGCCCCGAACCCCGTGCAGTGGGGGTGGCCCTGGGCCTAGCGCAAGCCAGTCTCCAGGACGGTGCCCGCTTCCCCATAGAGGCTCTGCTCTTCCTTCCCAGGAGACGAGATGCTGCGGAGAGGGCAGAGGCCCCCCAGGAAGGACGGAGGGCAGGGGCTGCGGGCCCCCGCAGGGCCTCTCCCCAGACACCGCCTCGGCTCCCTCTGGGGACCAGTCACTCATGTCCCTGGAACCACGAGGCATATTTCCCGTCCTCTTTCGGCGCACGGCCGCGTTCTAACTGGGCTCTTCCGTGATGGAGCTGCCCCGGAAGGTGGCCGGGGTCCCCCTGGTGGCCTGTGCATGGACTTCTGTGAACGTTCCGTGTCTGAGAACCCCGCGCCCCTCTGGGCCTGCTTGCTGCTGTTGTCGGGAGCGGGGGGCAGAGCCACACACACGCAGGAAGTGTGCGCATATGTGTGCATACTCCACGTGGCTGGTTATACAACTGAAAATACGTGCTGTGTTGTACACCTAAATTAAAATACTGCGCATAACGTGCATACAGACACACTTACGTGTAAGTTACACGTAACTTGTAAGTGCACTAGATGATGCATATCTGTGCACAAGGCACCCTAACACGTCGGCGCGTGCCACAGCGCCACCTCTACCCTGCTGATCACATCACTCAAATCCTGCCCTTGTTCTCTTTTGCTTCTTGATTCCTTGATTTCTGAGAGAAAAATCTCAAATATTACTGCAAATTTACCTGTGTCTCCGGGACTTCCTGTCCAATTTGCGCTACATACTTAAAAAGCTATGGTGTCAGATGAACAGCAGGTCCTCAAAGTGCTCCCTTCTTAACGGATTTGTACCTTTTCCCAATCAAATACCCCCTTTGCCCTTAAAACTCGAGCCCTGGGTTCCGACGTCCACTGGAACTGCTCCACACCCTCCCCTTGGAGAGCATCTGCCCTAGGGCTTCCCCATGTTGTCAGCTAGTCCGTGTCTCTTCCAGCTGATGCAGGAAAGATACAGGGATGGGGGTGGAGCTCAGGGGTAGAGTGTGTGCTTAGCATGCATGAGGTCTTGGGTTCAATCCCCAGGCCCTCCGTTAAAGAATAAATAAACCTAATTGCCTCCTCCCATAATAAAAAAAAAATTTAAAAAAGAAAAACAGGAATTTAAAAAGTAGAGAGAGACAAAACAGGAGAAATTTGTTATTCTACCCCAATATGAGACTCATAATTTGTATGTGTCGTAACTGCATACGCGTGTTGACTACTTCCTATGAAGCATCTTCTAGTGACACCTTCTCTTCCCTCGATTCGGTGGTGACTCTGCCCCGTCCCTCTGGCGGTCTGACGCCGCTCCCGTTTCTGTCCTCAGCGGGCACCCTGGGCCTGGGGTGCACTCACAGGCCTCACCACCTGCGTCCTCCTCTTGGCGCCGGGGCTGGTCGGTATCTGTTTCTCCCTCGTGAGCAGAGGAACCTTCTCTGCACTTGGACTGGCTGCGCCAGTTCCTCTGCCAACACCCAGGGAGACCAGCTGGGGGGCTCACTTGAAGCTCTCATTCAACTTTCTTTTTACAGATGGGAGGGTACAGCTCAGTGGCAGAGTGTGTACTTAGCATGCACGAGGTCCTGGGGTCAATCCCCAGGACTTCCATTTAAAAAATACATTAAATTTTTTTCTTCTTACATTACAATACATACACCTCCACAATGGTAGGACTCAGCCACACATCCTGTTGGTGGTTCCATTGCTTCCACAGAGCTCAGTTGTGTGTGTGTGTTATAGACTAAGTGTCTGTGTCCCTCCCCAAAATTCATATATTGAAGCCCCAACCCCCAGTGTGACTGTATTTGGAGAGGACCTCTAAGGAAGTAAGGTTAAATGAGGTTTTAAGGGCGGGGCATGGAGTGAGGGGTTTAGTAGCCTTATAAAAGGAGAAGCAAAACCCCCCTCCTCGCTGAGCACCCCAAGGAAAGGCCACTCGAGGACACAGTGAGAGGCAGCCATCTACAAGGAGGAAGCCAGCCCTCCCCAAGAAACGCCCCGTCCACACCTTCCCTCCACGTCCAGCCTCCCGATGTTGAGGAAGGGAATGTCTGTTGTTGAAGTTGCCCCAAGTGCGGCATTTTGTTATGCAGCCCTAGCTGACTGACACACTGTATTTTGCTTTTCTGTAATTCACCTCTGAAAAATTCTTTCAGAAAGGAATGTACGGGTAGCACATTTCTTGGTCCTTACAATTTTAAAATGTCTTTATTTGGTGCTACTACATGAACGCTAGTTTGACTGGATATGTGACTCCCAAGGCTCCACAGTCTCTGAGCACTGCGGGGGGTGGGGTGCACCGGGGACTGAGGCTCGACTTGGGAGGCCAGAACCTGGGCCTCGGAAAATGGAAAGAAGGAGTCCACGTGTGTGTCTGTGGGGTTGGGGGTGATCAGAGGAGAAACCGTGAGCCTTGGACCTGAGGGGACTGCAGCCTGGACCTTGGCCTGGCAAAGAGGTTTCGGCGGTGCAGATATGGCCTGACCACCGCCCACGTGTGCACTGTATCTGAGGGAAGCACAGAGGAGGCCGGCTGGGCTGACATGGGAAAGCGGATTCGACGTTGGGTTTGCACACCATTCCTGGCCCCAACAGGCCCTGGTGGTTGATGCTGATGGTCTGTGAGTCGCTGATGCTGAACCGGGCAGCCTCCCCTCAGGCCACACCCACCGCCACCCCTCCCTGGGCTCTTGGGGTGGAGGGGGGAAGAGAGGAGTCTGGGCCATGGAAGGGCCCTGCCACGCCGTGCGTCTGCGCCTCCCCGCCTGGGTCCTGGGACGGCGCGCCGGCAGGGCCCTCTGCGTCTCAGGAGAAGGCCCGAGCGTGCCAGGCCTCCTGGCCCGCTAAGGGCTCACAGCCCGGGGAACTGGGTTCTCGTGGTGCCCTGCCCTGGGTCAGGTGAGGGTCCGCATTAGGTCACAGTGGAGGGCATCTTGGGAGCGTGGGCCCAAGGAGGGGGGACCACAAGGGGATCCTGGCTCTCCAGGAAATCCAGGCCTTGGGCGATGCACCTCTTGTGGTGGACGCGCTGCCCACAGGACGCAGCCAGGAGGGAACTGAGTCCAGGCCGAGGGCCAAGCAGAATCAGGAGAGGCAGCGTTGGCAGGTAGGGTCCCAGTGGCACTGCCGGGTGGCTGGAGCCAGCTGGTGCCCCACTTGGCTCTCCTCTCAGGGCACCCCAATGCCTTCCAGTTCACGAGCTGGTCACCCGAGCTGGCTGTGAGGGCGGCAGATCCCCAAACCACACCGCACGGCGCCCCCGCAGCGCCCTCACCTGCCTGAGGTCCAGGGCTGCGTGTGCCTCAGTGGCCGGTGTTGGCCTCTGTCCCCTGCAGTCTCCAAGGGGGCCATGGCTGGAAGAGCCCCGCCTGCCTGGCCAAGCTGCCCAGCCTGTGTCCCCGGGTTAGTAGTAAGCCCCGAACAAGGTGGCCACCTTCTGGAGAATGGTCTTGTGGTTGGCGTACAGCGGGATGCGCCGGTCCACCACCTGCCATCGGATGGACATCCCTGTGTCGCAGGAGTGCAGGTGCTGTGGGGACAAAGACGGATCCTGACTCCCTCCCCAGCTGGCCCCGCCTCCACTGGACACCAGGGACTGCAGACTTCAGAGGGTGGCAGGGACACCACGACCCGGCTCCCAGCCCCGCTACCGGCCCGGCTGGCGGCCAGCTCATGTTATCCTTCTACCAAACTGCAGTAAGATCACCCACTGCAGGCGTGAGTCAGAAAATGCCTGCAAAACTCCTTGAAGGAGGAGAGGGAGGAGGCGCAGCCTTATTCTGGGGTTTCCATCCTGCAAACAATGCCCGGGTTTTGTTCCCTGGGACGTCCCGGTCCCGGTCCCGGTTCTGGGTTAGGGGCACACGGGATTGATCTACGTATAGGGGACGATGTCCCCACAAAGGTGTATGAACCCGCCTCCCCTGGGTGCGAACCTGGAGGCCCCCAGGGTACCCGTCCAGCCTTGGTTCCACCCAAGCCACATGTTGGTGCCCTCTGGCCTCACCCGGGTGCCCCCTTGGTCCCTCGAGGAGGGCTCTAACCCCCGCAGTCCTTACTCTCCGGTGCAGGTCCCTTTGGCCCCAGGCCCGGGAACCCATCAGGCCCCTTCCTGCAGGCCCCGAGGCCCCTCCAGAGCACTGATGCCCCAAGTCCCCCCATCCCTCAGAGCCTGAGGCCCAGGCCACATACAGAGTCCAGCCTTTTCAGCTCCACATCGCTCTGGTCTGGAAAGTGGATGCTCACAGCCACCGTCTCGATCCAGGCGTTGTCGGTGTTCCTCGGGTCATCCACATACCCTTTGTACACCTGGGAGGTGGTGCAGGCATGAGCTGGTCCCCCTGATAGACCCCTGGGTCCCCCAGCTTCCTCCCAGAGAAAGGGGCCCCACGTGTCCCCTGCGCTCCGCCCAGACCTGAGACACTCTGAACACAGCTGTCCACTGCACCCAGCAGCCCCCTGCCCTGTCCATCCGCTCCCCAGCACAGCCTTCATCCCTGACTGAAACATCTCGGGGACTTGTGGCCTCTCATCTCCCTCCTGGTCTCTGGCTTGGCATCCAGACCGGGCTCCACTGTCCTTGGAAGGGTTAAAAAGTGGTGGCAGATGTCAAAACATTACGCTAAGTGAAAGAAGCCAGACACCAAAGGCTGCGTAGCGTGTGATTCTGCCTATAACCGTCCAGAGCAGGCGAGCCCACAGACAGGCAGCTCCATGGGAGCCGGGGGCGGGGGCGGCTGCTGCTGGGTGTGGGGTCCCCTTCCGGGGGACGGGAGCGCTCGGGAACCGGACGGCGGCTGTGATCGCACCGCACGGGCAGTGCACTAAATGCCCCTGAGCTGCTCATTTCCCGTTTGGATTTCACCTCAGTGAACAAGTTTAGATTGTTTTTACAAAGTAGAACGAGGAGAGGTGGCAGTGGTCCCTGAGGTGCTGCACGGGACACACCTCGTGAAGCTGCTGGGCTTGTAGGTCAAAACCGTGAATGCCAGCAGCTGACTGTCTGCTCCTGAGATGCCCCTGAGACGCCACAGTGACGGGCCGGCACTGTCTCACATGCCTGCCGCAGGGCTGCTTAAACAGGCCACGGCCCAGAGCACTACGCAGTCATAAAAAAGAGCAAGGTGCATTTGTATATACGGACCTAAAAATAGGGCCTTCGCAAATTAACTCAAAAAGCAAGTTGCGTCTTTGTGCCCAGCTGTGCGCAGAGCAAGAGTGAGTGCGGGAAGGAGGGGCCGGACACCGGGCCTGCCCGGCCCGAGGGCCTCCTCGATCTCGGGAGGAGAACACCAGAACAGAGAGGGGAGGCGAGGGGGCCCAGAGCCGAGGCCACGCTCGGTCCCAGCACTTCCTGCAGGAGCTGCGGGATGCAGGCCTGGAGCAGGTGCCCCAGGACCCATCCTGAAGGCCCACGACCAGCGCACTGCGGGGCCCAGGAGGCACAGGTGGGAGCAAAGCAGAAAAGCCCCTACCTCCATGCCCTGCGCCAGCAAGTTCTCAAAGGAAGGCCAGAACTCTCTCCGGAGGACCTGCTTCAGCTTCCGGGGCAGTGTCTCTCCCGGTTCCCGGGAGCCCTGAGCGGACAGGGAGGGGAGGCAGGTGGGCAAGGCCCTCCGGGGACCTGCCTCCCCGGGCTGCCTGCCCAGCGTGGGCAGCTGGCCAGCCCCCTGGAGCCACAGGCGGACAAGTGTCTGGCAGTGGCTAGCTTCAGAGCCCGAGTGACATTGTCCAGAGCCCACTGCCCACGTCAGCCCACGTCAGGGTGGGGTGGGTGGGTGTCAGGCCAAAGGCACAGCCTCTGAGGAGCACACACTGGGCACCGTAGGGTAGCCAGCACCCTGACTGCCACTGCCCCAGCCACCTCGTGGTGTGTGTGTACCCTGCACCTGTTTTCAGCCTCCGCTCTGGCACGCCGGGATCCCTGGCACCCCTGATGCCACCTGCCCCTGGACACGGGCCTGTAGCTGCATTCCCCTCCCCAGCCATCCAGGGACCCTGCTGGTCATGTGAAGTCCCTCTCGGTCCATGTCATGTCCATCCCCCTCGACCCCAGAGGTACTCTGGCCCCTCACTGGCTGTGGCAGCGGGGACCATCAGATGTCCCCAGGACCCCACTTGGGGCTACAGGGACACCGCTCAGAGGATGCCTGTCGGCAGGAGAGACCACAGTGCCGGAGAGGGAGGCTGGGTGACTCTGGAGGACCTGCAGGGGGCGGGGCTGGCCTGGGCTCGGGGCTGGCCTGGGCTCAGGGCTGGCAGGCACAGGGCTCGGGGCTGCAGGAACCAGAGCCACCCACGGCCCGGGAATCCTGGTTCGGGTCTGAAGACCCTCAGGCGTACCACTGCCCCCACGTACCCATCCACTTGCTGCCCCAGCAGAGCAGCCACTGGGCCACGGCTGAGCGGTGGGGTGGGGGAGGTTAGGAGAAACCGGATGGCTCCCTGCTGAGCTGGGGTAAACCTTGGATTCCCCCCACCCCTGGGGAACAGCTCAGAGAAGAGGCTCCCAGACACAGCCTCACCAGATACTGCACACCAGCCTGGGGCCTGGCGGGTGGCCATCCTCCTGCCAGGGTGAGTCTGTTCTGACCCCAGAGCAGCGATGGGGCGGGGGGCAGAGGGCAATTTGATGGGGCAAAACCAGAGCGGCTGGGCTCACTTGGACAGGACAGTCCCCATGGGGCCCTTCCACACCCTCAACTACGTCAGTCACCATAAGGCCTCTGAGGAGCATGCCGGCCTTCAGCCCTGCACCCAGCCATGTCTCCGAGGTGAGGCCCGAGCTCCCCTAACCCCGCCCTGGACAACGCAGTCCTGGCCTCAGGGCTTAGCTCCGGATGCAGGCGAGAGGCAGGTGCACACCTGGGACCTGGGCAGCCGCCTCGGCCCCAAACCTCCTGAGCCTCACAGGGAGGGAGCCCCAGCCCTGAGCCCAGCGCCCAGGATACAGTAGGTGCTCAATCAGTGCTTATTCTCCAAAGAGCATCTGAATCTGTTGTCACAACCACAAGATGAGAAATAGAAGGGAGAAATTCTCCTAAAAAGGCAAGGCCCAGCCTTTGCCATTCAGGACCACGGACAGGGCTCAAGATGTCTAGGACAGTGACTGCGGGTGGGTGGTGACCGGTCAGTGGGCAGAGTGGATGAGGGCCCGGGCCGGCACTGGCGCTGGCTTACCCCCGGCAGGGCCCAGTGCTCCGAGACGGGGAGTCTCACCGCCAGCACTTCCAGCATCTTCTTTATGCCTTTCCTGCAGATGGCACCGTCCTGGTTCCGCCTCCAGCTGCAGAAGGGACCGAGGCTGTCACCTCCCCACGTGCTGATGTCAGCCCTTCCCCGCCCCAGGGGCCAAGAGCAGCCCACCCTGTCTCCAGAGCACCTGCTCCCGGGACAGAGATAGCAGCCACCACGGGCGTCCGCCCGGCCCCACACCGCTGAGGGCTGGAAGGGGTCGGCCTATGTGGAGCACATTCTTCCCTCGAAAGCCTTACAGGAGCACATGCCTGGGCTCGGCCGCCCCACCCCTGTGGTTCTCTGGAAACGCCTGCGGATTTATACGGATTTTCATTTTGTCCGCGTGGTGGGCCCGGGACCTGGTCATTTTGTCCACGTGGTGGGCCTGGGCCCTGGCTTTGTCCCTGACCCCAGCGGCCTCTAAGGGAGGAGGGCCCACGGGGAAGAGAGGGCAGCCTCAGGGGAAGGAAAGACCTGGGTTTTGGGGAGGGGGCATGGACGTCCCTGCCCTGTGTTCTGGGGTGTGCCGTTTGCCCAGGCCCAGCCAAGTGCGAGCCGTCCTCTGGGCTCTCTGAGCAGGGGGTGAGGCGTGTGGGCGACTGTGTGTCCCCATTTGGGGCTACTCACCGGGTGATCACAGGCTGCAGTGTGTGGTTGGGGCCAAAGCAGCTGAGGCCCCCGCGCCCGCGCAGCCCGGTGCGGCCCATGGGGTTCCTGGGTGGAGAGGGGTCTGCAGCTGGGGGAACCTGGGCGGGGCAGGGAGGGGGCAGCAGGCGGGGGCCCCACCCAGACCTGCCCTGGTGCAGGCAGTCCCCCAGACAGGAGCAGGAAGGGGTCACCCTGTGAGGAGCCCGGATGGGACGCCCGACACCTGCCAGCCCCTCCACCGTCTGGCGGACTCCGCGTCCCCCGCTGGGGCTGTCCATGCCAAACCCTAACCCTCGGGGACTTCAAGGGTGAGGCGGGGGCTTCAGGTTACCTTGGGGGGTTAAAAAGGAAAGAGGTCTCCTTGGGAGCCAAAGCCCAGCCCCACCGCAGACGCGGAAGGCATCACAGTCCCGCAGGGAGCGCCTGACTGAGACCGACCACCATGCCGTGTCCGGAGGCATGTTGTGAGCCGGCAACCGACGGTGCCCCAGCCCGTGACAGTCTGTCCTGCTCTCTTCCTCAGCACCGCGTCCCCCACCCGCTCCCCTGTCCAGGGCTGGAGCCGCTTCTGGTCACGTCTGTTCTCGTGCCCTACCCGCCTCCCACCACCTCCTCCCATGGCCTCCGCCACGGCAGAGTGACCCACTCCCTGTTCCAGAACATTCCCGGAGAGGCCTGCCACCTGCCTCCTCCCTCAGGCCCCTTGGATCCTGCCCACTCCATGGGGTCCCCGCGTCCCAAAACACCTGTGGTCCCTCCTCCGATTCTGACAGACCCTCCATAGGCTCCGGCCCCTGGTGGTGCGGCCTCCCCAGTGACCCCGGTCAGAGGAGGCTCTTTGACCTCTGAACCCCAGGCTGGCACACAGTAGGTGTCCACTAAGTGCATGTTGGGCCTGACGCCGTGGGTTACCTTCATCTTTGTGTTTGATGTCCCCCCCTGTACATTGGGGTGCAGTGCCCATCCTTACAGAGGACAGACCTGGAAACATCTCCGTCTCCGACGTGCAACCCAGGGGCCCTTTCCCGGCTCCCCCGCTTCATTCTCATGCACAAGGGGCCCCATTTCACCACCCCGGGAGTGGAGTCCTACAGGTCACGTCAGGGGAAGAGGGTGCAGCACCCGGGCCCCCACCTGCCCACGCGTGTCCAGGGAGGCAGCAGGGAGCAAGCCACTCGGGGTGGTGAGTGGGCTAGGGAAACACTTGATGTTGAGGGTGTTTCTTCCCTATTTTGTTTCTTTTTAGCAGAAAACACCCATTTTGCGGAAGAGGAAAGCTGACGCTGACGCTGGGAGGAAAAGCCCGGAGGCCGCGGAGGAGGGCCAGGCAGGGCTGCACTCACAGAGGGAGCCCGTCCCGGACGGCATAGGTCCCGTGGAAGCTGCGTCGGTCCAGGTGTCCGTCCACCGCGTTGTAGCTGATCCTGGACAGAGGCTCCAGGGCGCTGGGAGCGAGATGAGAGGTCACGTCCCCGAGAGAGACGGTGGGAGGCAGAGTGGCTGCGGTGACCCTCAGAAGGTCAGCCCGAGGACACAAGGGTCCCTCCCCAGCCCTTAGGGAGGACAGACAGGAGGCAGGACACTCACTCTCCCATGGGGTCCACCGAGTCCTTGTCCCTCCTGTTGGCCGTGTGAAAGGGCGGGTCGTAGATGAGGAACTCCACCTGCAAGCAGGGCAGCGCCCGCAGATGTCACCACCCGGGGCCCGGACGGCCCCGCAGGGCGCGCGGGGGCCTGAGCTTGCGGATCTGAGGATGTGCCCACCCAGACCTGCCGCAGGGCGGGGCGGGAC